GTCACCAATTTAGTGCTACTTGGTCCCAATGGAATTTCCCATTGGGAATCTAAGGGTGTGCATGCACAGAAAAGGGACGGCCTTACGAAAACATATCACCTGAATGATTGACATTTAGGAGGACCCCTTATTTTAAAAATCCACCCGGGTACAGAACATCCTCCCCATACCTTTAACCACATCTAAAAATGTCAAACTGCTTTATTTCCTCTTTATAAAATAACAATTTGGTTGTCTTATTTTGTATGTGTGTGTTATAGGTTTCCATTTTAAGTGGAAAGGATCTAAAATCTGTACTGAACCTGACCGGGGATCAGGTATGTGATCACTTCCACCTTAAAGGTGTGTAAAGGAGGATTAATTAGCTCTGTGTTTAATGGGACTGTACAGGGGTCAAAGGTTAGGGATACAGTAAGCCCTGTTGATTATGTTCCTTTGTGGTTCCAGCTCTGCTTTTTAAGCTGGAGGTGATAGATTGACTATTTATACATATAACAGCAGTTTTACATGTTTAACCACATAAAAAAAAAATCAGGGATGAATCATGTTGCTTATTTTAGCAGCAGCACAAAGTCCTCCTTTCATACATTCATACTGCCTGTATGATGGAAACTTCTTCCTACTGAGCTTTAGTTTAAGGTGGCTTTTGGACCATGCATAATAAGCTCTTTTTTTTTAAAACCATTTTTCAAAGACTGCGTCATAACAGCGCTTTTACTGCTGTAATATCTATTTATACCCTTTAAACTTTTTTTTCCACATTTACAGCCACAGCTTAAAGCGTTTCAGTTAGATATTATATGAAAGGCCACCACGAGTAGAACATGACTAGGTTTGGAAAGAAAGGGCTGCGTTGTTTTATTTAAACTGTCTTTGGAACAAAACCTAAAAAGTGTGTCGTAGTTTCGTTTTTTAACCTCTTTTAAAACTTTTCCCCCCAAGATGAATTCTTACTTACAAACACAAAACAATCCATCTGGTCCCACTTCAAACATTCCAGACCGATCAGCCAATCACTTTGCAGTATTATGGTTTAAGGCGGAACCTCTAGCTGGGATGACACACCGTCCACTAGAGGCGCCTCTATTCATTCTTACAGTAGCAGCCAATCAAAATGGCCCTTCCCAGCCGAATGGCAGCGAATGGCAGCCGAATATCCCCTCCAACTTCCAGCCACCGAAATGACCCCCCCTTGGGAAAGATAAATGGATCCAGAGTAGAGCATGTTAACGAAGAGGAGCGCCGCTCAATTCTCCACTCAGGAGGATGTTCTCTCATTCGCTCTGCCGCTTAAAGTTGCGCCAGGACGCTCCGCTTAAAGTCCTCTCCGCGCTCACCTTAAATTTCCTGCTGCTCCGGCAAAATCACTCCAGGCTTCATCAAATTTGCAGGAGAGGGCATTTCTTGCCTTTGTGATACACAACGTTTGATTTAATGATGTGACCGATAGATTTGTATTTTCTTATTTAACTAGCTGTTAAATTAACGCACTACACTAAAAACAGACACTTCACTGAAACAAAGAGATAAATATCGTAGTGACAAACCCTGTCTTCAAAAGTAGTTTTACATTTCTCTACATTGGAAATCAGAAGAATTCACATGTTTCATTCATGTTTCTTTTTCAGAAACCTAATAGGTTCCTTCTTTCTTTATATCTTCAAAATATGTCCAATTTCATAATGTTAAAATTGGTTTATTTAGGCAATATGTCATAAAACTGATATAGTAAATTGTTAAAATCAAATGATTTAGTACTTTTTTAATTTAGCATATTGTAAGATATAATTTTAAGTTGATTGATAATGGAAAACCTTTTTCTAGGTGGAGGGGGTAGCATGAGCTGTCATTGAAAGTGGTCTGTGTGAAGCCCCTGGCTGAAGCTTTGCTCTGTGGGTGTGTGCTCACCGCTGGCTAGCTCAGCTGCATAAACACCCTTTAGTCTTTGTGCTGTAAGCTTTACTCAGACTGATAAATCCAGCCAGCGATTCCATTTTCAAATAAAATCTGTTCTCCAGGGACCAAGGTACTGACTCATGCTGCTTTTTTGTTAGCGGTTGGAGGGAGAGAATGGAGACGTCATTTTTTAAACTTTTTTCCAAATAAAAAAACCTGTATAGGGAACATTTTTATTCTTTGCTTTGGGAAATCATTTCTTGGGGTATTAGAGTGAATATCATAATGTTGAGAATTTAACTTTTCTTTTTTATATATAATTTGAAATACCAGAATTTTAACACGACTCTCTGTCTGATTACATCATTTTAATTCAATTCAATTTCAGTTAAGTTTATTTCTATGGCTCCAATTCACAACATGTCATTTCAAGGCACTTTACAGTTCACCAGATCATCCAGTCAGATTGATTAAAAAGTTTTCTATCTAAGGAAAACCAGCTGATTGCATCGACTCATTAACTTGAAGGCAATTCCTCACACTAAGCATGCTTGTAGTGACAGTGGAGAGGAAAAACTCCCTCTTAACAGGAAGAAACCTCCAGCAGAACCAGGCTCAGTGTGAGCGGCCATCTGCTGAGGCCGACTGGGGTTCAAGGAGACAGAAGCAGAGATACAAAAAGCAGCTGTAAAAGGCGGCCCCATCCAGGATCTGCCTTGAATCTAAACAGCTGAAAAAGATGATTTTTCAGTATTTTTGCCCCTAAAATAATAAAATTAGATATCTAGGACTGTGATGAACTGGTTACCTGTCGAGGGTTGACCCCGTCTCTCGCCCATTGACAGGTGGAGAGCACCAGCACCCCTCACGACCCTAGCAGGGATAAAGTGTGACAGCAAATGGATGGATGGATAGATATGATGCATTTGAAATATAATTTAACTTTTTTTAAATTTTCTTTGAATATAGATAATCTTCATAAATTCTCAATCTCTTCCTTATTTGTCCAAAGCAAAAAAAGAAACAAAAAACACCCCAATCTTTCAAGAAAGATGGACTTACTTGAATTCAAACTCTTTGCAACTTTATATTTGTGGAAAAATATAAATATAACATCTAAGAGCGGTGAAAACAATTGACAAGTTAAATACTTCTGCTCAGATGTTAGAAAAAGCATCAAAGAGAAATCTATGGAAGTTTGAAAACATTTTAAATGGAGGATGAGCAAAAAGACTGAATGCACTAATGTTAAACAGATCCTGAATGAAAACAATTAGGCTCATGTGAAAGGCGATTTTCTATGAGAAGACACATTTATCAAGTAATCTGTTTCTTTTTCTTCTCTTCATTTAATTATTTTGCAGTGCAACATAGTCAGGATACCACAATTTATAATTATATTTATTTGCTTTAAGTGAACATAAAAAGTAAAGCTAGTAGTTTGTGAAGTTTAGAAATCGTTTTATTCCATTTAATTACTTCAATCTACAGGAGCTCAAACTTTGAATTTCTGTGAAAAGGGAGAAAAAAGGACGCTGGGGGATTGTGGGATTGAGAGATTTTAAGCAAATCTTCTAGAGTGGTAGTGGTGGAGGAGACAGGAGATGAAAGGCAGAGGGAAAAAAAATGAAGGAAAGAGAAGGATCTGTGCACCATGGTGTGATTACAGGCTAACTGGGCCCTTTTTAAAATGTATTCCAGATGGGGTCCTACTATGGCTACGCGGTGGCGGCCACTGACATCAACAACGACGGGTAAGCGGAGGGAGGCGCGGTGACACAAACGGTGGCAGAAAATAGAGGGAGGTAAAATGAGAGCAGAGAAAATACAGCAGAAGCTGAATGTGTGTGGGGACTTCCCATCATGGAGTCACTCTTAACGTTTAAACACGTCATGAAACTTTTCCTCTCCTATCATTTACTTCCTATTTTGTTCATTATTGGAGCTATTTATGCTTAAACCCTGGTGGAGTTACACTGGAAAAACGATCTAGAGATAAGTAAAAATTTCTTAGATGAAGTGCATTTATCCTTAATTTGAGTAGCTAATGAGATAGTTTGCAGATGAAATTAGTATTTTTACTCTTAAAATAAGAGTAAAGTTTATATGCACTTGAAATAAGACAACGCAATTGTGTTTTCTTATTTTAAGTATAAATTGTCTTGTTCCATTGGAAAAATTTCTCTTACCTCCTCAATCCAAGAACAAATTCACTTATGTTAAGAAAAAATGACTTATCTAGATTTCGATTTTTTCCAGTATATAAAGTATATTATCCCTGTTCTAATTCCTCTCCTCTCTGTATTGATCCGTAAAATTCTCTTTCACAAACAGTTTTGATGACCTCGTTGTTGGTGCTCCAACATTCATGCGCCCCGGGCTCAACGGGCGCCTGGAGGAGCTGGGGAAGGTGTACGTTTACCTCCAGAGGGGCCCGCTGCATCTGGAGCCAGCTCAAACCCATCTCCTGGGCTCCGAGGTGTTTGGTCGTTTTGGCACCTCTCTGGCTCCTCTGGGTGATCTCAACCAGGATGGCTTCAATGGTACATCTTCACCTTTTACTGAATGACGACAAGCATCCCCTGATAAAAAAAATCTATGGGTTTTTTTCAAACTTGAGATGTTTTTCTAGGTTTTTAGGTTTATATCTTCTATTAAGTGGGTTTGTTTGAGTAGATGTGAACACATCAATTACACCAGGGGTTGGACCAAAACAACAAAACTAAGAGCCCCTCCTCAAAACATGTGGATGGTCTTCCAATTAAACTCTAGAAGTTATTTTATGGTACAGTAGCAGCCATTTAAAATGGCCCTGTCCAGTCAAAAGCCTCTAGCTTTCAGCCACTGGCCTTCTCCTGGGTGTGCATATTTTTTACTCTGACTCCACCCTTTCACTGAATTACAGGGTCTGACCAGGAGATGACGCTTCTCTTTAGATCTTAAAAGTCAACAAATCATGACAGAAAGAATATTTATGCACAAAGATTGATGTTTAAACAGGAATCTTAGGGGACCAACCAAGCACCATCAAGGAACGTGGGGAGATTTTGAATAGCTACTAGTGTATGCATAACGCACGGTGTAGGTACCAGATCTGCTTGGGGTCCTGCCCCTTCTTATGACGTCATCATATGGCAACTCCACTTGGACAAACTGTATTGCACCCGTTTCTTAAAGATGAAATCTCTTTTGGAGTCTCAACATATTATCAACTATATTTACCTATATTATTATTCCTCCATTAAATGAAAAAAGTCAGAATTTATTATTATCTAGAGACTATTAACAACAGGAGGTGAAATGCAGCTCCAAATGAGCCGAGCATTTTTAATCTGAATGAATAAGTGCAATCTAAATGAAAGGTAATTTTAAAATTTGTTTTGGTTTTTTAAGGGGTTGTGACATGTAAAAGATTATTGTAATATTATCTCTGACTCATTTTTCATGTGAGACCAAAGGCCCCTCCTATTCGTTCTGACAGCAGCTGTCTGAACTGCCATCCAGCCAACGTCCAATGAGGCGTCTACGTATATAATGTCTATGGTAGCCACCAGTTAGGGCAAGCACTAACCAGCTTCACAGCAGGACAGACAGGAGCTGGCAGTGCTGGTTTTTCAAAATGAAGTAAATTTTAACATGTCAACATATTTAAATTGATTTCAAACTCCTATCACATTAGAATAAGAGTGATGGGCCACAGTCGATTACATGTAGAGGAAAGCCTTTGTGTAAGTCCAAAGAACTCACCAAATAAATCAGGAGGCTGTTTAATGAGGAGTTGGGTTATAACACACCTTTTAAAGTTTGGAACATTTCATGGAGCTCTGAAGAGTCTGGCACAGCTGCAAATCCATCCAGACACAGACATCTACTTAAAACTGAAATGTAGAGGAGACACATTCAAGAGGAGCAGCAGAGCTCCATGAGTTAAGAGAAAATGTCAGGCAAAGAGAACAAATTTTAGTCACAAAGTCCACAAATCTGGGCTTGGTGAGGCAACAATGAATTCAGATCCCGATTTAAAGGAATAGTACACCCAAAACATGATTAGCCTTCATTTTCTACTCACCCCCATGCTGAACAACACTCTGGAGTACTTTTTTG